TCAAAGAAGAATTCTAGGTACACTGGGGACAACGCCTGATTCCCATCAGGCTGCAGAACTGGGCTGACATCAGAATCCAAGCATCCTCTGGTCAGTGCAAGCAGAGGCATTCCTCTAATGATTTGGACTTGATGTGATGCAATATGGATGTCATGGATAATTCAGACCAATGGGGAGAAACAGAATCAAAAACACTGTTTAAACACTTTCGTCCCCCACACCCCTCCCCTCTTGAGGACTCCTGGCCAATGTAACAGCCCAATACATATGCTAACAAACTTTAACGAAGCCTTTGTTTAAATTTGTTAGCATATGTATTGTGCTGCTAAAGCCATATAAAGAATGAATGAATGTCCTCCCTAGCAGCGTTCTGCCCCTTTAAGGAGCAGAGTGCAGCGCCCCTGTCTTTCCGGTACCCCGTACCCGCTAAAAATCTCTTGCTGGTACTGCGTACTGGAGGGTACCGCCCTACTTGCACTCCTGCCTGTGAAGCACAGGCCGCGGCAAGGGGAGAGCTCTGTGCGGCTGGCAGAAGAACCAGACCAAAGGGAAAACGGGACACCGCACAGGGCCGGCCCGAGCCCCCCTACCCCTCCCGAGTCCTCCTTCCTGGGTGGGGCCACCCCCACACAGTCCTCTGTGCTCTGCTAGGGGTCACACCCCACTTTTTTTGACAAAATGAGACAAATGCCTGCATTTGCCAAAAAAGTCGGGGCTGCCGGAACAGGGCTTGAAAAAGGGCCTGTCCCAGCCAAAATGAGACGTATGGTCACGCAAGCCAGACTTCAGTATGAACCTTTGGGATGCAGTGATGGACTTCACTAGGTTGCCTGCTGGGCACTGAACTAGCCTCCCGCGGTGGGCGGTAGGACTTACAAGAAAGGCAGCAGGGACTCTGACGAGGGAGGCTGCCGCGAAGGGAACTCTGGCCATGAGGGACAGTTCAGGCCGGAGAAGCCTCCTTACCGTGATGTTGCTGATGAGGGACAGACTGGCAGGAACGCTACCTACAGGACTTCCAGGACTGTGTGACTCCAACCCCACCGTACAAATACTAACTAGTATCAACAGTTGGTCGAATCTACAAAGACCATCCACAGCTGTAGCATCTCTGCCACCATTTCAGATGCTGTGACCAGAATCAGAGCTGCTCCTGTTGATGGGAGCAGGGGTCAGACAGTCCTGCCCTGACTCCTGCGGGCATGGACTCCAGAGAAGGAGTGTCTATAGCACAGTAGGGCTAGCACCTGTGACGTTGCACCCCATAACGCTTTATGGAAATATGCTTATGAATGTAAATATGACATAACTGGAATATGTTTTATGCTACATATGCCATGTAACATATCTCTGTAAAGGTTATGATCTACTGAATTTATTCATCCTATTTGTAGGCAAGTGTCATTTTTGTATTCAAAGTTATGAATATTGGCTGTGTACTTGTTTGATTTTAAGTAGCCTTAGTAAGGCATTCAGGCGGCTTCTTTAGAAAGGAATGTGCAGGTTAAGTGCCCAATCAAGAAACACTTAACCGACAATGGATCTTGGAAGGCTCCAATCCACATAAGAAGTCTACTTGAGGACGTTCAAGGTAGCATGTGAATAATGGCTGCTACTTGTAAGTTCTGAGTCATGCATGGACATGTGACTTGCTCATGTGACTCCAAAATTCCATCTTGTAGCTGGGATTCTACACAGGGGGAGGGAGGGGTGTCCACCTACAAGAGAAAGTCTATTTAAAACCCTGGGAGACCCCTCCATTTTGTCTTCAGCTGGCTCAAGAGGATACCTGAAAGAAAGTGGAACAAAGGACAGTAACAACAGGGGGTGTGAGTGATTGCTGGACCCCGACTAGAAGGAGATTAGTCTGTAAAAGGAAGCTTATTGGAACTCCTCTGAGGGTGAGGTTTTATCTGTATTCAGTTTTCTTACTGTATTAGGCATAGACTTGTGTGTTCTATTTTATTTTGCTTGGTAATTCACTTTGTTCTGTCTGTCACTTCTTGGAACCACTTAAATCCTACTTTCTGTATTTAATAAAATCACTTTTTACTTATTATTTAACCCAGAGTATGTATTAATACCTGGGGTGGGGGGAGCAAACAGCTGTGCATCTCTCTCTATGAGTGTTACAGAGGGTGAACAATTTATGAGTTTACCCTGTTAAACTTTATACAGGGTAAAACGGATTTATTTGGGGTTTGGACCCCATTGGGAGTTGGGCATCTGAGTGTTAAAGACAGGAACACTTCTTAAGCTGCTTTCAGTTAAGCTTGCAGTTTGTGGGACGTGGTTCAGACCTGGGTCTGTGTTTGTGGCCGGCAAGCGTGTCTGGCACAACCAGGAAGGGCTCCGGAGTCCCAAGCTGGCAGGGAAAGCAGGGGCAGAAGTAGTCTTGGCACATCAGTTGGCAGCCCCAAGGGGGTTTCTATGATCCAACCCGTCACAGCACCTTTCTTAAAAAGGGAGAAAAGCAGCTATCTGCACCGGCACGGGAGTGCCTGTAAAGCTGTATGGAATACAGGTGACCACTGGCAAGAAGCATGTTTAAACACTGGTTCTGATCCTGGTATTGCCAGGACTTCGGTGCTGATACCCTGAGCAAGTACCTAAACCACTGCCCATTCCCCAGTAGCAAAAGAACGGAAAGAGCATCGTCCAGGGTCCGAGTGCTCTGTAGCTGCTGGCAGAAGCTCCATCAGTTCCGAATGCTCAGTTATTCCTTTTGAACTGCAAAGGCTTGTCAACACAGGGACCCTCAGGAAAGGTAATCCAAAAAAGTGATTTAAAATAAACTGAATTAAGGTCTCTCTAATTCTGAAAAGAGTGTCTACACAGGGTTTTAATGCAGGTTTAACTAATCCCCTTCAAATTCACACCTTTTGTTAATTCAGCTTAACTTTCATGAACATCCCCAGGAAGAGAAGCCCTAAATTTCATCAGTTTCCAAAAAGAAATCCCCAGGGAAACGAGCATATGCAATTACTTTCAATGAGCGGAAACTTTCCCTGCCAATAATTTACAGTTCTTCTGTGGGGTTTCCCCGCACTCCAAAGAACTCCACAGCCATTTCGCTCAGGGAGCGTTCCACTGCCTATCAAAGCAGCTTAATTTTACAGTGTCACTGCTACTTATGGAAAGTGATCATCACAACCAAGGTCCCAAGTTCTTTTCTCTTGAGGAGTGTTGATGAGGACAGGAGGGACGGCAACACTGAATGGAACCAGCTAATGGTCCTGCCTAGAACGCTGGAGTCTCTTGGTGGTTGAGCCCAGTGCAACAAGCGTGGTCTCCTGGCCTCCCTGTTCAGCCTGAAGCACAAAGCCAAGGGGACCCCATGGGAATGAGGAAGGGCTCTTTAAGAGGCCATGCACAGCCCTGCTAAGATTCTTCCTCTCATTTAAATATCTTTTCAGATACTGCTCTCCCTCCGTGATGTGCCGCTGGTTAAAATCCCACCCCTGAAAGGAGAGGAGAGGCTGGTGGAGTTCTATCTCTCACCAGCTGTTGTTGAGTAGCCAATGCTCAAAATAACCACCAAAGAGCAAACTGTGAGCCTTTGGCGGCGTAACGTGGGACACCGCAGGTAATTTTCCAGGGTGAAGATCCTCCCCGCCCCCCAAAGATGGTACATTTCCCCTCCCACCCATTTCAAATGGCACTCGTTTAACGTTGTGTTATATGGATCAATACACTCATGGCCGCATCCACCAACGATCGCCATCCCCGAGCTCCTATCTAGCGCTTTTCATCAGTAGAACTCAAAGCACTTTACACAGAAGATCAATCTCATTATCCCCATTTCACAGATGAGGAAACTGAGGAACAAAAAGGCAAAGTCACCCAGCAGGCCAGGGACAGTTCAGACGAGAACCCAGCTGTCCTGAAGCCCATTCCAGTGCGCTACCCACTAGGAAACACCCATCAGGCTTACCAGGACCTTTTTGGCCTAGTGATACTGCTCTCTTCTTTGACTACAGTTGAGAATGGCGTTTTGATCTAAATAGGGAAACAAATGAGCTGCTCCCCTCGGAGAGCACCCCCATTCCCACAAGCCAGAGGGTTTATCCCAGGCGAGGGGGAGAGGGATGTTAAAATACTGGCAGCCCATCAGCTGCTCTCTCTTAGTTGGGGATCTTGTATCTGGCGTCATTTCCTGATGCTGGCAAGAAAGACGTGTGATTGGCCAGCGGCAGATGAGAGAGAATCCAGCGTCTTGGCTTGTTTTAGGGAAGCTGGTGAGGCGGTGTATTTGTCAACTCCTTAAACGACGCTGAATTCTTTCCACTCCCAGCCCCCAGGTTGTGTCATGACTCACAGCCTGCGTCCACTCACCACAGAGATGAAACTGCACATCCAGTAATACCAGGAGTCAATTCCAGAACCGTGGCTCCGGCAATTCTATGTGCACAGGGCCAGCGGCTTGTCCGGCGCAGATCTGCAGGCAGCTACCTCTGATATCTGTCACTGAGGCACCGCAGCATTTCAGGAGACATGATCTTAATTAGGGGCCGATCCTGCAGCCTTCGCTCCCTCAAGTTACGACCCGAAGGCTCAGGCCCCAGGTTGCCCCTGGTAAGGGGTCATTTTCAGAATGCGTAGTGGTGTTCAGCTGCTGCTGTACAAACCTCTTTGGCACTGCTGGGTCATAATTCATAGCACTATTGCGGGGTGCAGTAAAGCAGAAGACTGTGTGTGTACATATGTGACCTGGCTCTGTGGGTAAAAGTCACTCCTGGGCAGGAGACCAGTAAAAACTTACGCACCGCTTAGGTCCTACATTAGCCCTACTTTGAGGGTGCACTGGCCTTCTGCACAGGGGTGGCCTTCACGCAGTTTTAGCATCGACCACTGTGCGTGTCCCTTCCCTTGCCGTGCTCCCAGAGCTGATAGCACAGTGCTCTCCCCCGGCCCCTCTGCAGTTTAGCAAGATCCTCCCAGAGTCTTAACTTAAAAGCAGCAGGGGAGTTATTTACACGGTGAGGAGACAGAGCCCTACCTGCTTTGAAACATCATTTTAATCAATCTCACTCGTCCCATCAGCAGCTGCTGGTTTGGTCCCGTGCACGGAGCCATTGGGGGGCAGAGGAAGCCAGCTGGCGGAGCCGTGGAAGATAAGCAGAGCCAGACTGGAGGGAAAGAGAGAAGAAGACGGTTCCACTGCCACCTCTCAGGGCTGGTCGCATGGCCGATTAGGAAGGACTTTGCTGCGTGGTAGGACTTTGCTGCTAAAGCTCAGAGCTACTAATATGGTCCTACCATAAGAGAGACAGTCAGGACAGAAAGTTGGACATAAATGAATGCAGAGGATAAGAACACTGCCATAGTACAGAGATTCGGCTCATCTCAGCCATGCGACTGCATCCACGGTTTTCTGGGGAAGCCCGCCTGGCTCTCTTAGCAGAACGATTCATTCTTCTGTTTGATGTGACAGGGCTTGCAGAGGACGTGGCTGTCCAAGGGGTAGCAGCCGTTCTCCGCTGGCTCGGTGGACAGGGGAATCCTGCAATTCTGTGAGGTAGAAAGTACGTCAATCGAAAGTCAGTCCGAAACTCGGTCATTTCTAAAGCCTCAAGCATCACAGGAATTTCTTTCCTTTGCTGGCCACACGCTACTTCAGTTTTGTCACTTTCATTCATTTGGAACTCCAGGAGCGAGCCCCATTGGTTCCAGTACACGTAGTGCTCTGAGCACCTTCTCCTGCAGACTAGCTAGCTCAGCCCCCACATTCGTCAGTTTCAATCAGCCTGTGGCATCCTGGTCATGACACCCAGACTGTCAAGCCAATGAGATGCTGCCTGGGCATGAGGATCTGGGCCCAAACCCCTCCTGCACCGGAGGAATTCAATTAAACCCTGTGCAGTGAGCCACAGACGGTACCGGCTCCCACGCCACACTTTGTGAGGTGGCAGCAGATGTGCTGGTCTTGGAACATAGCCGGGTACCCACTGCCTCCAGAAGCAGGCACCCAGCTCCACGGACCCAGCCGCCTCCAGGGACACGCTCCACGCACCCAGCCGGGCACCCGCCGCCTCCAGGGACACGCTCCACGCACCCAGCCGGGCACCCGCCGCCTCCAGGGGCACGCTCCACGCACCCAGCCGGGCACCCGCCGCCTCCAGGGACACGCTCCACGCACCCAGCCGGGCACCCGCCGCCTCCAGGGACATGCTCCACGCACCCAGCCGAGTACAAGGGGTGGGTGCTCAGTAAAGCCAGCCCGCTGCAGAACCAGGAGGGGTTCCTGGAACTCTCTGAACTGTGTGTGCTGCAGAGAGGAGGGGAGTGGAAAGCATCCCTGTTCGCCTGCATGTCTGAGCAATGGCTTGGCCACAGGAAGTGACGTGGCCGTGAGCAACCTGCTTAGTTCTCCAATAACCCAGGGAGAGAACCTGTGTTTGTGGAATAAAATCCTGTTTGTTTGGGGCTGCCTCCGGGTGGTTTCTAGGACTTTACACCCTCCGCCACCACGCGTTTATTTAAAAAATAAAAAATCGGCAGCATCCCAGCAGGACCTACCTCACAGCGATAGCAGCTTTCATGGAAGGTTCGCCCCATGCATTCTATCCTATAGGCATCTTTCCCCTCCTGTGGGATGATGGGTGTCTCACAGACGCTGCAGATGGAGGCGTACTTCCTGATGAAACAAACGGCCAACCTCTTACGCCACAGCCCATTAGCTGTAGCAATTCGCAGCACAATTTAAAGCTAGATCCACGTTACTTTACGTGGCTTCTGTATTATTGCACGTGAAACGGAAGTGGCAGACGGACTGGAATGAGCTGGGTGCCAGGCCAAGCTATCCAGGAAATCACTTGTGGCCCTGTCTCTGCTCTCCTTGACGCTAGGTTTACACTGGTGGAACTCCACTGACGACCACAGCGGCGTGAATGAGAGGAGAGTCAGCCCCGGTGTTTAGGAATACTGCAGTGTGAACTAGACGGGGGTGAATAATGGGGACATTGAACTAAAGGGGGAAACTGAGCAAAAAAAAATTAAGTCCTGCACACAAGACACAAAGTGAAGGACGCTACCCTGAAAAGCATCCCTCCAGCAGAGGGCCGTTACTCACCCTGGTGGCATCGCAGGGCCCCGGTCAAATGCTACCACGGGGGTGAATGGAAGATTCTGATTGGGTGTCGCTCACCCCCACTTTGCCCAGGGGAGTAACGCCTCCCTGAGATGCAAAGTGGGGGAGAATCGGATCTATTGCACCTGCGGGCTTGGCATCCAACCCTGCTCCACTGGCTTCGGTAGCAGCATACTAAGGAGGCACTCCTCAGGCAAAGAGTCCTGGTGAAGCCTGGTGAGTTGGGTGAGTAAAGGCTACTTGCTGGAGGGAAGGTTTGCAGGATCGGGTCCTTCAAGTTGTCTCACGTGCGCAAGACTTACCTTTTGAACAGAATCGGGCCCTCTAAGCTGCAGAGGAGGGTAGTTTAGGTGCAGAGGCGATTTCGCTCTAGCTTTCTACCCCTCTGACGCGCCACGTATAACATATCGCACCTGTAGAAATCATCCACGCAGTGCACCTCGTTCTGGTCATTCACGGCAAAGCTCTCGTCCCCGATGCTCCGCCCACACACGGAGCACATGAAACACTCGGGGTGGTACCCGTTCCCCAAGGCGCGGATGATGTGCTCCAGGATCAGACCCTGGCACTTGGCACATTTCTCCAGCGTGTCCTGCGGGAAGGAGAGAGGCAGATAAAGCGCAGAAACCAGAAGTGGATGGTACCATTCGCCCCTCGCTGCGCCCCCAATTCAGCCCTCACCTACGCAGTGAGGGAGGTCGTCCAGGCCAGAGAGCTGAGAGGAACCAGAGTTCAGTGCTGTGCGTGGTCTCAGAGACCCACCCGGCACAGTGGCAGAGCCATTCACGCCTCCACGCTAGAAGCTGCCTGCTATGCCCTGTGGCTCTATGGTCACCGTAGCCAATGGAAGACTGCAGCCTTTGCTGCTTCGCAATGAACGACACGAATGGATGGGAAACGCTCCCAGGACACAAATGTCCTTCTGGCCTGGAACCATGAGAATCCCTGGCCTTCCTGTAGCACTTTTCAGCTAGGTATTTCCAAGCCCATTCCGAAACATTCATAAATTAAGTGCATGTTGGCTCTATTTTGCAGGGGGTTCAAGTTAAGGCCCGGACATGAAGATCTAGATTGCCAAAAGCGGCCTGGATCAGGGCTGGCCGATGGCACGAACCTGGGGCCGGATTTTCAGAGCGCTGAAGCTGAAGACACTCAGTGCCACTGCAAACCAAAGCCGGGTGCCTCAAGCTGAGCTGCCAGAACTGGGGGCGCATGGAGCAAGAGGCCACTTCTGGAAATGCTGACCTACACAACTTGCTGTAGGTGACACGGAGCTGGGGCTGGAACGTGGACTCCCAGTCCCCAGCTCTCAGCACCAGGCACGTTCCCTGCTTTAGATCTGCTTGGGACTGATCCTCAGGCTAACCTACCCCTCACGACTCCTCCTGAAGATCCTGGGAGTTGAGACCACCCCGCACCCCACAGGATCAGGCCCTTGTTCTGTACAGACCCGTGTCTGAGCCAGTATCGGTGGCATTACAAAGATGGGTCTTCCCAGAGTAGGGCACTTCTGTATCTGAGGGACCCTTGCAGGTCAGCTAGTCTTGCCGAACTCTGAACCCCTCCTCCTTTCCCAGGGGCTCCCTCGGAAGCCGGATTTGACTCCTGAGAACAGAACGACATTGGCCTCTTGGGACGACCAGGAGCCAGTTGCGCTGACCTTGTAGCAAGAGTTGCACATTGGCCGGCCCTCTTTCTGGTAGTAGCGCTGCCCCGCTAGCAGGCCGTGGCACGTCCGGCACGTGAAGCAGTCCGCGTGGTACTGTCTGTTCATGGCTTCTATGGTCGGGGTCCGGGGGGCAATGGCCTTGTGGCAAAAGGCACAGACTGGAAGAAAGAATCAAGTCACTTTACTATGGCTAAGGATAGTAAATCACCTGGCACCTGCCAGCCAGTCAGACGCTGCAGAGAGCTCACCGGGGGAGGGGGCATGGTGGCACCACGGGGATAAAGCCAGGCTGTAGGGCTGGTCTTGTATATTTTGTAGAGGGGGTGAGGATCACCTAGGAATGCACCAGTGTCTTCAATCCCCCACCTCCCCCTCTCCTCCAATCACAGGCCCCAGCACCAGCCAAGCTCCTCCCCCACCAGTGCTCCCCGCATTCCTGCTACCCCTCTTCCCAGCCCCAGGCTCCCAATGCCCCCTCCCCCAACAGCTTTGCTGCCACTCCCAGGCCTGGTGCTGCTGATACCAGCGCTCGGTTCTGCCTGCTTGCTGGGCACAGACCGGACACACCGCCCCCTGCACAGGTTATGATTAACATTTGCATTCGAGTAGCACCCAAAGGCCAGAGTCGGGGCCCTGCTGTGCTGGGTGCGGTACAAACACAGCAGAAGGGATGGTGGGCCCTGCTCTGCAGGGCATTTTGCTGTGGGTGCCACATGGGTCTGTACTCCAGCCCTTACCCACTAGCTGTGCAACTCCATTTGATAGCCAAGTGTCCCTCCGGTTCGTTGAGGGTGCGTATCCCTGAGCTAACTAGACATTCTCAGCACGGCTGCCCATTCTCCCTGCAGCTTCCCATTCACACCGATGGCCAGGACTCTGCCTGAGAAACTCCTTTGCTTAAACGCTCTGTGTGTCCGGGGCCAGGAGAGCGCTGACGGGAGCTAGCAAAACCCGATCCTTCCATTACTGCACGATCGGTCCTCGCTAACAACCAGGTGAATGCCGCCCCACTGAAGTCAGAATTGAGACCTGTAGGGACAGTTGGGATCTGGTAGACAGAGCATGAAGCTGGGGATCCTGGCAACCTGGCATTGACTCTGCCGCTGACTCACTGCGTGGGCTTGGTTAAGTCACTTATCACCATGCCTCAGTTTCCCCATCTGCAAAATGGGGCTAGTAAAGCACACGCAGCTTTGCAAAGCATCATGGGATCTATGGAGGTCAAGCGCTGTCAAAGAGCGAGATATTATTAATGGACTCTGGCAGTTACCTGTGGAAATGTCTCTTTCCAGGAGCCCATTCACGTTCTGTTTCGGGGCCTGGCGCTCGTCCGCTTGCTCCAGACTGGTCGGCTGGATTTTATGCTGCCTCGGTGCCGCTGGGAAGGTGGAGGAGGCCTGATGAAGAGGAAAGAGGCATTCCGAGCTGGGGCGGGCGTCTGGCTGAGGCTTTGCGAGGGCTCCGTTGTGCAAACCCAGCCGGTCGAAGGCTTGGCTAACGACCGCAGCGTTCTGGGCCTGTGACAGCCGGTGGGGGACGATGGGGTTTGAATCCTGCCGGCTCTGAAGGCTGCCAGACAGACACGCCAGCAAGGCACCGGGGACATAGCGAAGGGCTGGAAAATTCATCCCGTTTTAAATGAAAACCTCTGCCCGGAGAATAGCGACATTTACCTTTAGAATGACACTGACCTTTGGCAAGAGCTTTGAGATCTGCTGATGACAGCGCTATTTATTACAGTAGCACATAGCAGCGCCATCACACAGTGCGAGACCGTTCCTGCCCCCGAGAGCGCAAAGTCTAAATAGCCAAGACAGACAAAGGGGAGGAGAAAGCGAGTATCGTTACCCCCCATTTCCAGATGGAGACACTGAGGCACGGTGCGGGTGTTTTGTTTTAAATGACTTGCCCACGATTGCCTAGACAGTCCAGTTGTTGAACCCAGCTCTCCTGAGTCCCAGCCCTGCCCTCGCCACAAGACCATCCTTCCTCTCATCTCAAAAAGTCCCTGACTCCCAGTGGCCACAGATCTGCATTGACAGTAGAAATCACCACCATAAACAGACAGAACCTTCTCACCCTTGGGTAACCCCATTGATTTCCCTGGAATTACACCAGGGAGGGAGGTGGCTGGAAAGGTTCCTGTCTGGCTCTGTGTTTTATTTCTGCTGTTTAGAACAAGGCCGGCTCCTTTATGTTCTTGGAACCGCTGCGGAGATCTGCCAGCCTGGGCTTGTGGCTGCTTCTCGGAGTTTGTGCGCCGTGACATCGCTGCATCGCCTCTGCACGTTCGGACGTGCCGGGATGAAACGCGATTGGGGCAGAGAATTGTACCGTGGGGCTGGACGAAACCTCGAGAGGTCAGCTGGGCCAGCCCCCCGGGCGAGGCAGGACTAAGTAAAATTAGATCATCCCTGACAGGCATAAGCAGTACCGGGTTTACAATGGCGCCCAGGCCCCAGGCCCACACTCAGAAGGGGCCCTGGCACCCGGACCGTGGCCCCGCCCCCTGCTCCACCCAGGCTCCGCCCTGAGGCCCCACCCCCACTCAGCCTCTTCCCCCCCGAGGCCCTGCCCGGTCCTCTCCGCCCCCTCTCCCCCCGTCGCTCCTCTCTGCCCCCTTCCCCCTGTGCGAGCGGTGGGCAGGGCCTTGGGGGGAAAAGGCCAAGCGGGGGCGGGGCCTCATGGCAGAGCAGGGCCATGGTTCAGGCACCAGGGCCTACAAAAGATTAATCTGACCCTGGGCATTAGTCTAGTTTATTCATAAAAATCTCCAATGACGGGGACTCCACAACCTCCCTAGGTAACCTGTCCCAGTGCTGAAGTCTCCTTAGAGTTCGAAAGGTTTCCGAATATCTAATCTAAATCTCCCTTCCTGCAGATTAAGCCCCCATCACTTCTTGTCCTACCCTTGGTGGAGGTGGAGAACAATTGATCCCCATCTTTCTAACAGCCCTTAACCTATTTGAAGACTGTTATCAGGTCCCCCCTCAGCCTTCTCTTCTCCAGACCAAACACACCAACTGTTTTCAACCTCTCTTCATAGGTCAGGTTTTCCAAACCTCTGATCATTTCTGTTGCTCTCCTCTGGACTCTCCAATTTGTCCACAGCTTTCCTAAAATCCCGATACAACAATGCTCTGTGGGCTCGGGTGGTTACTGGTCACTGCACCCATAGAGGGGACCTGGCATGGAGGGACAGAGACAAGGCCCGTGCCAAGAGCAGAAGGCGCAGGGAGAGCAGGAGAGAGAGACAAGCTTGGCTCGGGCAAGTCCATAGGGCCTCGGGAATGCAGCATGCAAACAGCAAACCAGGCAGCGGCCTAGCTGGCAATCTGGGTGTACGTGCAGCAGCTGATCCACCGTGAGATGGGAATCCAGAGAGCTTGGGATGGCGGAAGCAGGACGTTCACTGGCTGGAGCGAAGGAGCCAGCTGCTCTCTGCCTCAGGTGCCCTGGAGAGGGGCAGGGGATTGCTTGGCGCCTCCATACAAAGAGAGACGGCAGAGAGCCGTCGATGACAGAATCAGACTAAACATCCGCATCCTTCAGGCGCTGTTATTTTGGGTCAATTTCACTGCCCAAGACGGGGAGGGAAGGGGGGAAGGACATGAATATGCAGCTGACTGGACCCGTAGGGGGGAATATGCTCAGGTCTTCAGAGCCAGGGAGTTTAATGGGCAGCACAAGAGAGATGGTTGCTATTACCCTGTGGGCGAAGGCTGGGTTTGCCGGCTCAGTGCAGCTCCAAGGAAAATCTTGTGGGGTTTCTCAGGGGAATGAGTGGGTCCTTTCCGGTAAGATGTTAGGCTTGGAGGGATCTGGACAATATTTGTGCCTTGAATTTAGTGCTGATGAAAGCGAGGGACTGGATTAAGCCAAGAACGGCGCAGGTTGGAGCTGTGCCGATGTCCCTCAGTCCCAACCCAGGCCCCTACTGTTCCACCCACAGCTTTGCCGATGCCCACGGGTACCAACCGCAGCGCAGGCAGCTATCCTGGGCCTTGATCCCCGGCAATGCGGCACGCTCCTGGGGGTGGTACGTCCTCCCCAGAGAGCGGGGAGCACAGAGCCTCTATGAAGCGCTCACCCTTCAGCAGGAAAGATGCTCAGTTCCAAAGGCTCTGGGCTCAAATGACTGGAGGCTCTGCCCTAGTGCACAATTTGGGCTGATTTAGCTGAACGTGATCGAAACCCCAAAATACCAACACGCAGAAGGTCGGCTTTCTGGCGCTTCTCCTCAGAGCGGCTCCAGGCTGCATTAAACCACAGGCTGGGCCAGCGTCAGGGCTCTGGCATGGGGAAGAGAGGGGCCCAGGCTCTCTGGACCTCTGCAAAGCCTGCGGGTAACGCTTAAGGGGCCTGATTCTCCACAGATTGCTCTGGCGCTGCACCGGCGTAACAAGGCCCTGCAGGCTTGTGTCTCTAGAGCTGCGAGGTTCAGATCTCGACTCTAGCCCCCGGGACAGCAGACTCAGCACTAGGGTACGCGAGGAATTGTGACAGATTAGACAGAACAGCTGTTCAAACATACACAAGGGAGAAGGGGGAAATTCCTCCCTGAGTCTCCCAACCAATCAGCTTCTCTAGTGTAGTGACTCACACGGCCATTGCCATAAGCTCCTAGCAGCTCACAATATTTGTGCATCTCACAGTCCTCAGCACGTGTCCTCACAACACCTCAGTGTGGCAGGGCAGGACTGTTATCCCCATTCTACAGATGGGGGACCTGGGGTCCAGAGAGGCTAAGTGACTTGCCCCAGGTCACACAAGAAGTCTGTGGCAGAGCAAGGCTTGTCCCCAGGTCTCCCAAGTGAGTGACATGACCACCAACCGGCCCTCCTTCAGGGTTCTCGATGCTGTTCTTTGGGCACCAGGGCTAAAAACATCCAGGCAAGCCATGACATGAAACCTCCTCCTCCCACCTTCCATCAATACCTGCCGGCTCACAGGTGAGCTCATGTGCAGCTTCTGCAGATCAGGGCAAAGCGTCTCCAACGACGGGGCGTTAAGTTCATCGGACAGAAGATACGGCGGAGGAGACGGCAGGGGGCTCTCTGGGTCCGAGCCTGTGGGAATGTCGGTCAGGACAGGACGAGGAAAGGAGGAGAAACCTGAAACAAGCAAGGAACAAGGCTGGAGTCTGGCATGAAGTAGGGTGTATGAGGAACTGACCTGCTGAGCGAAGGGGCCCTGAATCACACCAGGTTAATTTTGTGCTGGTGAACAGGGCCGGATTGGAGATTAAAATCCCTTACCTACCCCTGGGGCTGGCAGGCGTGTGTGTTTACAGCATGTGTGTGTCCCAGGCCTGCCCCTGCTCCTCTCCTGGGAGCCCTGTCCAATCTCCCCCTTCCTCCTCCTTCGGCCCGAGACACACGGATGCCTCCACTTCTGTGCAGCAGAGGGGAAAGCTGTGTTTGGAGCAGGGTGCCCTCCCCCCTGGATCCAGGCCTTGGGGCTGGTCAAGTTTCCCAGGATTCTTGGATGGTCCAAAAGTGTCTCACGTTGCAACAGTCTCCAGGTAGCAGTGACACCAAGGGTGCCCTGGGTGATGAAACCACTTCTAACCCAGAGCTGAAGGGCCCATTCTTATCTTTGCTGATATGAAATTAACAAAGTTGATCATTACTAACGGAGAGTCCTGCTCTTGGAAAAGCACCCCCCGCCAAGGAGCATTAGTGGTGTTGGATAATTGGCAGGAGAAAAGTAACGAATGCAGCTCCCCTGCGTAGAACATCTGTTCATCACAGCTTCTCTCCTGCTGCACATCAAAGCGAGGACCCTACATCTAGAAAACAGGGCCCGTCTGTTGGGATCAAGAGGAAACAAATGCTCATTAAAGCATAAAAGAAATCACTCCAGGCAAGGGTGCAGGCGTTACAGCAGCCCCAGGCCAGCTGTGTCTGGGTACCGGGTTTGCTGGTTACTTATGCTGGATCGGCACTGTCAGGTGTGGGTTTGATCTGGCTCTTCGGTCAGGGTTTGGGCAGCATTAGCCCCAGCATCACTGAACCTGCACCGTCAATACTGCAGCCGCGTAGTGCGTCTCCAGCACGTGCTCCTGGCGATGCACAGGCTGTGAGTGATCATGCCACCCTCAAAAAGGACGCACGCCGGGCCACTGCTGAGGACTAACGGAGGTGATCCTTCAACTCCAGCTGTGGCTGCCTGTGCTCCAGCTAACCGAGCTCTCCTTTAGATCACGTGGGAGAGGCCTGTGGGTCCAGGTTCTGGTCCCACTGCCCCACATGGCCTCTTTGTGGACAGGGCTTGAAAAACCTACTTCCCAAAGCCAGGGGGAACTTTGGACAGGCGCTTGCAGGCTGCTGGGAGCTTTGCAGGAGAGAGAGGAGGCGGGAGCAGCCCCCGTACTGAGGTAGAGCTGCTGGGCTGACTTTGTGGGTTAGTGACTGATGGGCATGTTTCTCAGCCTGTGTGCGGCAGGTGTGTCGTGTGTGCCCATGGGTCATTTAACAAGCGTGCCCAGCTGTGCCCAGCCGGGAGGGGCCACGCATTCCCAGGGTGCTCGGAACAGGAACTTCAGCGATACGTTTGCCCTGGGGAGACACGGGTGAACGAACCCAACTGGTTTCTGTGCTGATGCCCACTGCGTTTTCACCTGGAGATACGAGGGGGAAGGGGGGGTGCTAAGCTGCGCTGGGCTTTGATAGTGCATCCCCACTCCCATGCTGCATGGGGCCATGGCTTGTTTGGGGGAAACGAAGGCCCTGCCCCCAAAGACTCCACTATTTTATTCAAAGGAAAATGTCTCTCGAGCTTGGGAACGGGGGGGGGGGGGGGGGGGGGGGGGAGCAAAGTCAAATTGTTAGCTTCCTTCTCAGCAAATGCCCTAATAAATCTCCTCTCCTGCTGTTTGTTTGACTTGCAGCCAACACGCAACCTGCCCACAAAGCAAACTGCCTTTACCATGCAGCAGGCAGCCGGGCTGATTTGGCCTGGTGGCTGCAAACACTGCTGATAACCGATCAGTGATAGAAAGCAGATGGCAGCCGGGAAGATGGGGGGCCCCGGCCGCGGGGGGGGGGGGGGGGGGGGGGGGGAGACGGGCCGGGGACCCCAAACTCATGCATTTCAATGCTCAAGGAAATGAACCCCCTTCCTCTCTGGAAGCCCCTGATCCTGGTCCCAGGGGAGCTTTGTGGCTGTGCAGAGTCTGTCTGCACGGCAGCTAGGAGTGGGCTTCCCAGCGCACTAAAAATAGCAGCGCGGCTGCCACAGCACAAGCAGAGGCTTGGGCGAGCCGCCCGAGGACGTACCCAGGGGCTGGGTGGGACCGAACTTTACTAGCATGTCACGTGCAAAGCCCCCCGAAGTCAATGGAAAGACTCGGGGCTCGGCCCCAGCGATCTGCACTGACACACACCGAAGGGGAACGGTCTCGCCTCCATCTTCTGCTCCCTCTTCCAAGCAGGTGTCTTGCCCCTAGCCCGCCAGCCCAAATGGTGATTTGCCCCCTAGAACCTCTAGGAGCTAATTCACTTCCACTGCTGGGGCTGCCAGCTGGCCAGCCTCCCTGCTCCTGCAGCCATGCCTGGTCCTGTCGGGCTCGAAGCAAGGACCAGCAGCAGGGGGACGAGGGGTCATATTGGGAGCACAGGCCAGGGGAATAGATACGGGCTCCGGCAGGAAGCTGCCCCACACAAGAACACCACCTGCCCTGCCTCCCAGCGGCGGCTCACACCTCCAGCCCGGCACAGAGCCTCCAAGGCCCCCGGGCAGTAAACCACTGCCCAGGCACCATCCTGCTGGGAATGAGGCCATTTCCCAAGACGCTGAACTAAATCTTCCCGAGTGCAGGGGTGTTTGGAATCCAGATCTGGATCCCAGCTGTGCAGCGGGAGCCCGTTTCTGGTCATTTACGACCTACTCTCCCTCTGACGCGTTTCACGGGCCCTGTGCAGTCTGTCCCCTGCATTCATCTTACCTCCGTTGGACAAGCCCGCCGCTCCCGACGAGGGCCCGGCACTGCCCAGTGTCCTGCTGTTGGGCAGTTTCTTTGGTGGCGACCCTTGGGGCTGGTGGGTCCCATCAGATTTCGTAGCCTCCTTTGGGTGGTCTGAGCTCGGCTGACGTGCCTCTGGCTTTACATCAGCCTTGATGACCGTGTCCCTCCTGGGAGGGGCCAGGGTAATGTATACGGAGGAAGCAATCCTCTTCTCCACCTTCCCAGACAGCATCTTCGAGCGGGGGCTCTGCAAGGAACAGAAGCAATGAAAACAGAGCCAGGAACGGCGCTCGCTACTTCTCCAGATGCTCTCTGGTCTCTCTCTTCCAGGGGAGCATTGCACACAGCCCAGCCTAACTCCCACACCACGTGAGCTGAGAGCCGCCCCCAGACAAGCACCTCCCATGCTGAGCGTCTCCTGTTCCCACAACCTAAGGCGTGTGTGCAGGGGTAGCTGTTGGAGGCAATGCCCGGCTGCTCCCGAGGCGATAAAATTATTTTGGCCGGTGCACACTCAGTGTTATTACGCTGCACACACCCTGGCGTTCAAAGTCTTCTTTCCTGGAAAGTCAGAAAAAAACAAAACCAACCAACCCGTGCAGAATGAGATCCAATAAACTGGCTTGTGACTCCAAGGGGAGTCTAGCCAAGTGTTTGAATAGCAAAGTGCTGCCAGGGCCCCGGAGTAGGGTCTCTCAACAAACAAGGTGCAAAGACCACATTCCTCACTGCCCCCTTCTCTAGAGACAGCTGTTATTACTGAGAAGGAAGGTGGGTCATTAAAGCAGGGCAAAGGCCAGTTTCTGTTCTGCACCCATTTTCAAGCAGGTCCCCGTGCCTCAGTTTCCCCACCTGTAAAATGGAGATGATGACACTGATCTACTTCACAGGGCACCACAAGACTTAATTCATGTAAATCCCTTTGAGATACTCAGAGCAAAAGCGTTCGAGAGGTGGACAGACTATTATTATAATTGATGTTCATTTCTATAGCCCTGAAACTCAAAGGCCTCTGAATGCCTCATACGCAAGCACCGAGGCCCCATGAGCTCATAAACAAGGGGAGTGGATGGCTCGGAGCATTTGTACTCGGTCCCAGTGTGGGGGTGTTTTTGTACTGCAAAGTCACTAGTTCAAATCCAGCTGAGCTCAGTATTGATCCGAAATGAGTAACGTAAGATATGCACGTTGGACCCAAATGATAAAGTGGGCTGACTGTTGAGAGTAAAAATTAAATATTGAGCAGCACCCTCATTCACTGTGCATTGTCCCTCCTGCTCTCTTTTACTCCAACGGGCTTGGATCAGGCCCTACATGAGTCAAGTGTCCTGTGGAATTAAGTATATATTACTAGAAGCTGTAGCATGATGCATATGCACAAGGGGCAGAGTTAAGGTTATGTGGGCAACCTTCACATTGGCATTTCTTGACTTATAAGTGCTTCACTTTGCAATCTTAATGTTCTTTTAATGTAGATTTATGTAAGGAATAATAACTACACTTAGTAGTTACATTGTGCTTTTCTTCTATAGCGCTTTAGAAAGAGGGCACGTTACAAAGGAGGGCAAATATCATTACCCCTGCTTTCCAGGTGGGGAAACTGAGGCACAGAGCAGGGAAGTGACTTGCCCAAGTTCACCCAGCAGGTCAGTGTCAGAGCAAGGAACAGAACCCAGGTCTCCTGAACCACGCTGCCATCCCAAAAGGGACACAAGTTCTTAACCTTGCTCAGAAGGATGGTACTGAGGGTCCTGGCTCCCATTGACAAGGGGAGCATTCTAAAGCAGTGGGGCCTTGGCATAAGAGCAGCCCATCCTTGGGATTATGCTGCCCTGAGAGCCAGCAGCTCCAGTCCTGCCGATCTCAGTGTCCCTGGTGAGAGGTGGGGCAGCAGATGGCTCTTCAATTAGACTAATCCGCATTGTTGTAAATTACCGTGAGACCCAGCATCCCCCTCACTGGGCAGGGGCTGCGGAAGAAACTTACACGGTGAGCTGTTCAGCACAATCTTTGGGGATAAAGCCACCGCCATCGTCGGAAGCCGTTGGGCTAAATCCCCCTTGCAAGCCGTGCTGGAAATCGATCCCCATGCGTTAACGAGAGGATAAGCCATCGCATCTAATCAGGGGCAACTGAAACCAGACAGGCTGTGTGATGGAGGGGGAGGCAGAGCCCTGACAGCACGGGGAGGCCCGCGCTTATGCAAACCGATATCTCGGCCAGGTTAATTCAGTGCACTGATACAGTAAGTGCACAGAAAGGGCGGGGGAATTTTCCTTTGAGATCTCCAAAGGAAATGCAGCCCTTGGAAGATCAAACAGTGAGCAGGCGATGTGATGAAAGGCTCCTTTGTTGACTGGGCTGATAGCTTAGTTACAACGTAGGAGCTCTTTGACCCACACAAGCCTCCTCTCCTGGTGATCTTCAGGAGCACATGGGTGGCCCCAAGCGCTGTGCGCTGGAACAGGGAGCTGGAGACTTTGCATCTCTAGAGCACCTGAGCAAAACGGGATTCACAAGAGGGAGGCAGCAGAGGCCAAGGGCTAAAAGCCAAGATGTCAAGAGAGCTGGACTCTCTTCCCAGCTCTGGACTCTCTGTGTGACCTTGGGCAAGTCCCTTCCCCCTGCCCCCACCCATCTATGCCTCAGTTTCCCCATCTGTAAAATGGGGGAATGATACTTACCTGTCTCATGGAGGGAGACCTGTGAGGCTCAATTCACTAGTGTTTTTTTGGATAGTGCTTTGAGATCCCCAGGGAAGAGCACTAGGGAAATGCAGGGTCTTGTAAGACCGCCTTGTACCTCTCATATGGCATTATTAACATAGCCCTGATCTACACTGGGGGGGGGGGTCGACCTAAGATACACTGATTTCAGCTACGCGAATAGCGTAGCTGAAGTCGGCATATCTTAGGTCGACTTACCTGGCCGTGAGGACAGCGGCGAGTCGACCGCTGCCGCTCCCCCGTCGACTCCGCTTCCGCCTCTCGCGAGCTGGAGTTCCGGAGTCGACGGGGAGCACGTTCGGGGATCGATTTATCCGCGTCTAGACGAGACACGATAAATCGATCCCCGATAGATCGATCCCTACCCGCCGATCCGGTGGGTAATGAAGACCTGCCCATGGAGACGCAAGACAGAGAGTCAGTGACTTGCCAGGAGTCAAGGTGAATGCCTAGGTACCTGCTTCTGCTGGTTTTCCCTCTGCTTTGCATGGCTGGAGTGGCCGAAGACAGCCAGAGTCGGGGCCAGAACCTGGCCCACGTATTTCAAAAATACAGCTAGCCACCTTAGCCAGCCTGGACAGACGTTCTGCTAACCACACGGAGCAGGAATTTGAAATACATTTTTAGTTTCTTACCAGGTTTTACTTTCCTCTGACAAGTCGGCAAAATCCCTCTCTGCTTTCCCAGCATGCACTAGGAGCAGTGATGTGAGTAGCGGCTGCGGTCAATCCAGAACGGCCTGTCGGGGAAAAGGCACAGCCAGTTATAATCAGTGCTGGGCAGGTGTGAACAGAAATCCCAGCCCTGACGCTTATGAACCATATAAACTGCCTCAGAAGAGATGGACCTAATGTTAAAGACACAGGTTTCCTCTAGAATCCCATTTCAAAATGGATGACATCGCTTGGTGTAAACCATCGGTAGCTGGGACATGCAGAACTAAAGGGACATTCCGTTCTGTATAAAGAGACTTATAATAGTTTCAGGATTTATTTTAATTTAATTTTATTTATTTCAATAAAAAGGGGAGTGGGTGGGACTTGTAGATGACTTACGGAAATAGTTTTTAATTGGAGTTTTTGCCTTTATTATGGAAAAAGAAAAAGAAAGCCCGGAACAGTTTTGTTCTGGAGGATCTGTTGGACATCTCAAAGGCTGGACTTTAATTCGAGGAGTAGAGGGATCACATCTTTAACCACGGCTTCCTTTCTCCAAAGTGCTCATTGGTCATATACATGAAACAGACGTTAGCGAAAACAGTGTGTGTTTTCAAGGGTCTGATGAAAAGTCCTCTCTTCTCAAGAGCTCAGCTTTTGCTTTCTTCGCTCTTACAATGTCCTCATTTCACTCCTACTCCAGGAGGGTGACCAGACAGCAACTGGGAACAATCGGGACAGGGGGTGCGGGGTCGTAGGTGCCTATATATAAAAAAAGCCCCAAATATCAGGACTGTCCCTATAAAATCGGGACATCGGGTCCCCCTGTACTCCAGCCACCCTGGAGACGTCTAGGCTAAACATGAATAGACTTTCTAATGTTAAACTCAAATGGGGGTGCTGGGGCCTTAAATAAAACCCTGTCGGGGTTTCTTCATCCCCTGTAAAGAAGCAGAGGACAAGCACGAACCCTTTGCAGGTCACATTCGAATGTAAACCTTCCCCATTAGAACCAGGACCCAAAACAACTGGAGCTGAGAAGAAGAAAGGGCAGCCCAGGAGAGCTAGACAGGCTAATCTCACTTGTAACATGATGCCCCTCAATGGATCAGCAGTAGGAGGACTCTTGGAGCCAAGGCCGCAGCAGGCTCGTTAATCTGTAGGAGGCCCGGCCCTCACCAGAGGCGGACGGGGGTGCTCCACTCAGCGGGCACGGCTCACTCACGGCTCCAAGCGCAGAAGAGCAGCCCACCAGCGTCCCGGACGGAAAGTAAACTGGGAAGTGTTGGTTCCATGGTGTGGCGCTCAGGGCGGGACACGGGGGGCTGACTGTAGTCTGAGCCATCTCAGGCATTGTCAAGTTGTTTCAAAGCTTTGACTGTTTATCTGGATCATGTCCCTTTAAGGCAGAATCCCCCTCCCCCTCTTCACCATGCCAGGGGAACCTCTGAGCAGCTGGTGATTATACAGACCATACGTGCTGCGGAGCCACGCGTGTGCAAGCCGTGTGTCACAGCAGGCCACGGCAGGAGGTCCCTAGCTCTGCACTCGGCTCCTTTCATGGGCTTTAAACAAGCCCTTTGTCCATCAGTGTATTATATGTTAATATCACCTCTCATGTTTCTTTCCTTTATTTTCACTCAAAAGAAAAAAAACCCAAGACAACATAATCCCCCGGCCCCTTTCCTGTGCATACTGAAGAGCTGTTGAGATGGGGCCCGGTTTGGAAGATTTATTTCCGTAAGCAGGATGAATTGGAATCAGGAGGGGCGGATTGGGACCACAGAGCCGACCAGCCCTTTCTGGAGGAACTAGGACACTGATCCTGCAAATCCTTACGCCCCGAGTAACTGAACACGCGCATTAATTGGTGGCTGCGGGATCAAGGGGTGATGAAACGGAGAATGATATGGACTTTCTTGGCATCTCGCAGAGGAGAATCTCACATCCTTTCACAAACAGTAATTACACCTCTACCCCGATATAACGCGACCCGATATAACGTGGTAAAGCAGTGCTCGGGGCGGGGGGGGAGTTGTGCACTCCGGTGGATCAAAGCACGTTCGATATAACGCAGTTTCACCTATAACACGGTAAGATTTTTTGGCTCCCGAGGACAGCGTTCTATCGGGGTAGAGGTGTAATTAGGCCTCCCTCCCGCCCAACTCGGTGAAGTCAGAATGTATTTTTTACCTTTGACAAATGGGGAAACTGAGGCCCAGAGAGGGGGATGCGACTTGGGCAAGATCAGCAGCAAGGCTGGGAGTGGAACTCATGAAGTCTCACTGCCAGGCCCCTGCTCTAACCGCTAGACCACACACCCTTCCTGGGTAAAAAGGCACAGGGCAGCTGTGCAGCTGTTCACCTGAACTCCCAGCCCCTGCTAGGAGAGCTGTGAGGAGCAGACTGTGGGGGTTGGGGGTGGCCATGGGGCCAGGCCCACAGAAGAGGGAACTGCCCCACTGAGCTGCCTTAACAGGAAAGATCCAGAGCCCTTGGTGCTGCCCTTAGAATCCCCTGCCCACCTCTGGCAGCTTCCATCCATGCATCTCACAGCCCGTGGACGCATGCCCCCGGGAGAGAGGCAAACAGCGCCACCCGGATTTTACAGAGGGGGACACTGGCAGAGAGAGGAAGCCGCTTGCCTGCGATCCCACAGGGGGACTGGTGGACAAGCCTCCTTAAAACATTCCCAATAAGCCCGGGGCTGTTCCCAGGCCAGGAAGTCATTTTCCAGGTAGAGAGAACAGGGCAGAAACCTCCCCACTCCGCACTTACGACCCCCCTGTGGCTGTGGTGGGAAAGATGAAAGGCTCAGGGTCTGTACAGCCTTCCGGCCCAGAGGCCCAGGGTTAGGGATTAGTGGAACTGCAGGCTGTTAGCTCCCTTACCCAGCCGCTTGGGGGGCCCTGGATAAAACCTGCAGCTTGGCTCTGGCTCCTTCCCTGAATGGGGCGTGAGCCAAGCCCACGCGCATACGCTGGCATCCGTCCTGGCCACCTCTCCATGGATTCTCTGGTTCACACGTGTGGAGCCACCATCAGACGGTGAAGACTTTCAGTCACTACCCACCTGGGCTGGACTTGAACCAATGACCTAGAGGTGCACTGATCCAAGGAGCACATCCCCTGAACACTGGACCCCAAACTTGCTGGCCTGGGAACAGTTAAAGTGTGTCATAGATGCTCCACTTCACAGCTACATGCGGTAAAATTCATCAGCACTTTGTTCTGATGCCAGGATCCTTTAGCCGCAGGGGGACGGATGGCAGGGAGGGAGGGTGGTTCGGACTTACGGGATTCTCTTTGATCAGACATCTCTGCTAGTCTGTAGCAAGTCCCACCGTGGGATCAAGAATTAATAAAAAGATGGGGAAAGGTCTGTCTGGCCTTTCCCAAGCAGCATCATAGAGAGGACAGGTTGATGTATTCCCCTTCAGCCCAAAGCTTGTTACAGTTACTGAATTAGATAGCCATTTGATAGGATAAGTGAGGGGCCGAAGAGACGGTGTCCAGACCCTTGCTAGCACTGGACTCCAGTTCAGGGCCTGAGGCCCAATCAAGGCTAGGGGTCAGGTTCATGTTCAATGGCACAGACCTTCTCAGCAGCTGATGCAACTCAGCCTAAAATGGCTGAATGGCTGAAATCCTTCCCAGACGCATTGCAGTCACAGAACTAGAAAAGGGGTCTCTGGATCCAACCTGGACACCAGATGAGAAGAGTGGATTTGCCTCCAAACACACACATTGAAATTTCAATGGGATATGGATGCAAGGTTCCAGGTTTGGTTCATCGCTAGTTTTAGAGGCCTGAATTTTCAAGGGTCCCTTCGATTTCGGTCGCCCAACTTCCTGACCCAATTTCCAGAGCGTGTGAGGACCAACAGCCGAGTCATTGGGAGCTGCGGACGGTGAACACCTCTGAAAGTCAGGACCTAGGTGTCTCACGCTGGGCACCCCAGATCCAAGGCCCCTTTACACTGCTTGACTGCAGTAAAGGGGCCTTAAACTGGATGTAAGTTATGCTCCAACTTAAAGGCTGCTTGCAAAGGGGGTGCTGTGGAATGATTACCAGCCTCCCCGAATTTAGTAAATGATCCAGAGATGACAAAGGCTTTTTCAGATTTGTTTAAAGATATCCACAACGCGCGTGCGCGCACACACACACACACACATCATGTGTGTTTTTATACACAACATAATCCAAGGATTTTAATGCCCCTGTTTAAAAGCAAGGAAGCAAACGTGCCCACTGCACTCCTGCCCCTTTGAAGCCAACACATCATCTCTTCTATTCCCTGCAATCGGAACGGGTGGGAAGGGAATTCAGGCCAGTTTGTTTTTATTCACATGCCACAGGAATTTCTCTCGGGGGAAATGATTAAATTGAGTTTCTTAAGAAGGATACACACACATTTCCTTAAACGCTAGGGAAGAGATTCTCTGCTTGGCAGATGTTGACAGCTGTGCAGACGGCTCAACCTCTGCGCCGCATGGATGCTGCCAGGGACTTTGATCCTAGCACAGCAAGCCAAGCGTTTCTTCAGGGTCAGCTGGATCTCCGTCAAATGGGTGAGCGCTACACTCAGAGTACATCTACGCTGCACCGTGAGCCTGGGCGCTGACTCAGGTTTGAGGCCAGACCCTGGGGAGATGATGTTTCACCTCATGACCGTTCTGCTGTCTCCCATCTGACTAGCCCGCGCACAGGCCTGGGAGACAGGAGCTCTGAGTTCTAATCCCAGCTGTGTCGCTGCAGCTTTGGGTCAACCACTTTGCCAACATTTTCTAGGGTAGCCACTGATTCCTGGTGTCCAACAGGAGACACCTTGGGGCGGGTTTTTCAGAGGCACGCAGCTGGAGTGCTGGGTGCTCCCCAGCCCTAAGGAGCCTCAAGTCAGGCACCCCAGCAGTGAAGCACCGAGAGTCATTGGATCTGTTTAAAGCTGGGGCCTTCACCTTCATGTGGGCCCCACCCTGGCTGCCCACAGCACCGCTGAAAGCAACGAGAACTGATGCTAGGGTTTGCTGGAAAATAAACAACAACCACCCAGCTTACAAAACGTGCTGAGGTTTCCAAACTTGTTTTTGTTTTGCTTGGGAACGAAAAATGAGATCTTCCAAGTTTTGGGTCACAAAAACAAGAGCGAGACACCCCAGAATAGCCAACAGCCCCATGTTTAGGGCCCTCATCTGGGATATAGCAAACCCAGGTGCAAGCCCCTGCTCTGCCTCCCCCCGGGGTCTCACCGAGTGCATCCGACATGCACGGTGCGCTGCTTAATACGCCCATCATTCCCCGCAGGAGGGATCCTCCCCATTTACTAAGAGGAGGGCTGAGACACAGAGGGTCTGTCTACACAGCAACTAGACACCGGCAGCTGGCCCATGCTGGCCAACTTGGGCTCGCAGGGCTGTTCCACTGCTGTGTAAACATCTGGGCTCAGGCTGGGCCGGCCCCCAGGAATCACCTTCCCCTCAGCCGCAGGAGAGCGAGCCAGCCCCGCGAGATGGGGAACTAGCATGGGACGCAGGACCCGCACCGCTCCCACTCCATAGCACCGTCTGGCTGTGTGGACAGAGCTTCAAACCAATCTCTAGCTATTGGAGACCAGGATGAGACTAAGTGAGGGGCGGATTATCCCACCTCGGCTGCTGGCCACTGTTGGAAGCAGCACCCTGGGCTAGATGGACCTTGGTTCTGATCTAGTCTGACAATAACCATGTTCCTGTAACCGCACCCAGCTCAATAAAAGAGGCACAGGCCCACATCTTCCCTCTTCCTGGCCGCTGGGTTTCATTTAGGCTCTTACCAGACCTGACCAACCTCGGGCTCCACTGTCGGGGGTCTTAGGCCGGCTGCTTGGGAGAGACAAGCAGTGAACCCCCGGAAATTCCTTCTATCTTTTGTAAATTTTCAGTTTTGGGGGGGGGGGAATTTCAGGTTATTTCATGTTACCCATGAAATATGTGGTTTTATTTCTTTTTAGTACATTTACGTTAAAAAAAATACCTCAAATGACAGAATAGAAATCCCGACGCCCTGCTCTGCTCTCCTCTCTCTGCCCCACATCCAGCCCTGCTCCCTGCCCCCAGGAAGGAGTTGTCATTGCAGCCTGGAGGGGGCAGGAGTGCATGGACCGGGCACCCCTATCCCAGCGGTGGTGGCACAGGCTCCCCCGGCCCCCATCCAGTTCACTACCAGGCCAGGCTGCAGGGGGCTCATTTCCAACCGCCAGCCCTTGGATGCCGATGCCACTAGCAGGGACCAGCCGATCCACAGCCAGCTCCATGCACCTCTGTCCCCCCCCGACAAGAACAGCCTGGAAAGGGTGCCCCGGCGTTGTGACCCCAGGCACTAGGTCACAACGCCACTCACTCAAATTGGGCCAAATCTGAGTGAGTGGCGTTGCAACCGGGCTCGTGAGGCCGCACTGCTCGTCGGCAGGAGCGGAGGTGCACGGAGCCGGCTGCGGAGGGATGATGGAAATTGCGGCAACTCTAAAAAGGGATTTTTTCATGTTATTCAGGGATCTAACTAGGAGCTGCAACTAAGCCTGGCCACTGGCACTCCCGAGGCCGAGGGCTCCAGGCTCTCAGGCAAGGTCAGCTGGTTACAGAATTCCTAACTGCCCTCCACCCACCGAGCAAACCTAGCTGTTTAACCCTTGCTGGCCAGGGTAAGATCCTGTGGTAGAGGCAGGGGTTTCTTCCCCAGGCTACCCGGGGGAGCGGAGGGGGAATAGGCTGTCAGGCCGCAAGCTTTCTGGTCCAAGCCCCTAAAAGCCACTATGCTCCGTCACAGGGTAAGCCCAGAAACCACAGCGGGGGCATCAGATGCAGGAAGCAGCTGGTGGTGCCGCTGGTCCTTCTGGTGGTCTAGCAGGTTCCTGCTTGACATAACCCTTTTGGTGCGTCTACCCCTAGTGTGCTTTGCAACCATGGCTGAACCAGTGCATTCTGGGAGTCCTGAAGCACCTATCCCATAGGGCCTAGCACTAGGGTGGCCACTCACGCATTCCCAGAATACCGGACATTCCGGGGCCTGCCTGCCCCAACCACCATTTGCAGCACCTGTATGTCATAACAACAGCTCTGCACACCAATCCGTTCTAGCACACTGGCTGGAGCGCTGGATTGTACAGCTCTTTTTAACCTTGTTTGGCCCCTCCCTTACTGACTGGCCAAGCCATGCTGGAAACCACTTCATCTGGAACCATGTTTAGACGGGGCCCAGCCCAGCCCCCAGGGGCCAAAACTGCATCTGGCATTTATTCTCAAAGGAAACCGAGAGAGGAATGGAACAAAACACTTGGGCCTCCGCAGACTTTTCTGCTTTGCCTTTCAGGAATAAACAAGGCACAAGAAAAGTGGAGTCTCCTGCCACTGATGATTTTGCCTGACTGTGGTCGGCTGCTCCAATAATAGTGGAATAGCCCCTGCAGCTAGAGCAGAAAGAGCCTGTACTCGTCCCCACTGGTACCAGGGATAAATACTTGTGCTCAGCCTCAGAGGGGAGTCAGTCAATACAACTCGACATCCTAGGCTGTGGCAGGGCCCGTGTGCTCGTGATCCCTAGCGTTAAAAACCAACCATTGCCCCCTTCCACCCACAGTCCGTCTGCCCATGTTCTCATACGGGCACCCATCACCACTGCATCAGGGCGCCTAAGCGTCTGTGTGTGGCTGGAAACAGACCTCCCCGCCCCCAGAATCCTTATCCTGAATCCCTCCCCTCCAACCCCCATGCAACGTGCCCTGCTGCTGGAATACCAGCACTTCACAGGGGACAAACCACGTGCACAGGAGAGGTGGGGGGTGGGGCCCATCCACAATTTATCACACAAACCCCCAATAACTTGGGAAGGATGGCCCAGCGGCTTGGGCACTGGCCTGGGACTTGAGAGACCCGTGTTCAATTCCTCGCTCTGCTACAGACTGCCTGTGTGACCTTGGGCAAGCCAGTGGGAGTTAAGCATCTAAGTCCCTTGGTGGATCTGTGCCTCAGTTTCCCCTCTGTACAATGGGATAACCGTCCAGCCTGGCCTTGCAGGGGTGTGTGAGGCTAAATCCCCTAGCGAGGGGGAGGTGCTCAGATACCAAGGCAATGGTACCAGATATGTATCTTATCTAGAGATTAGTTACACAGTGGTTGTGTGTTAAAGCCTCTAGTGACTAAGCAGCTGATTAAAGTGGGGAAAGAAGGGTGAGGCTCTTAGCTATGGGAGAGTCAGTGAAAGCAAACTAAGGTTATTGAAGACTATCTCATGGCCAGCCTCCACCCAACTACTTAAACCCTAGCCTTGGTGGCCATCAGATTTCTCCCTAACAAGCCAAGTTGCCCCTTGGCTACTGAAGGGCTAGGCTGGCTGGGCACCGAGGGACTAATATGAACCATTGCTGGTTACATTCCTCATTGTAGAGCTCACGGCTTCCTCATGCTCCACACAGCACCGTCCCCTCCTTCCTGGGGGAATCAGATACCAGCCAGGCAGGCGGTCAGAAGGTTATCAGCCCCCTTAAAGGAGGGAGGGAGGGAGCGAGCCTGCAGAGCGCAGCCTATTAGCTCACTGCAGTTGCTGTTTGGATGGGGTCTAATGCAGTGATTGGATGTGTTATAGGTCTCCAACCCAACAGGGACTCCCGATCAACAACAGAGGGGCGTCTTAGGAGGCTGCGCTGGCTCTGCTGGGGTCCTCCTAGCCTTGGAAGGAAGCCTGTCTCCTGTCGTGCCCCAGGAGCAGTTATTACAGCACAGCGGGCGCGTTCAGCCTGCCCAGGGATCAGATCTTGGCATTGACAGCCATGCACAGGAGCCCGGGGAGCGAACGCCTGCCTCCGGCGCACGCTTCACGACAGTCGCAGCTGCACGTCTAGCGCTTAGAGCAGCGGACTGGGAGTCGGGACTCCCCGGTTCTATTCCCGCCTCTGACACTAACTCACCATGTCCCCATTGGGAAAGGGATTAGACAGCTCTTCCTGTTGGTTTCCCCAGCTGCCAAATGGGGCTAGATCAGGGTTTCTCAAACTGGGGTTGGGAGGTTATTACATGGCGGGTCGCGAGCTGCCAGCCTCCACCCCAAACCCCGCTTTGCCTCCAGCATTTATAATGGTGTTAAATACATAACAAATGTTTTAACTGTTAAGGGGGGGGTCGCACTCAGAAGCTTGCTGTGTGAAAGGGGTCACCAGGACAAAAGTTTGCGAATCACTGAGCTAGGGCCTCCCTTCCAGGGCGCTGCGAGGCGAGGCTCATTTGCAAAGCACATTGAGGCCTTTGGGCGAGAGGCTGGTACCGGGCGCTTAGTGGGGAAACTGCCGAGTAAAGCTGAGATCTCCTCCACAGCCCCAGCTGTGCAGGGGGGATGACGGGAGACAGCTGAGCCCCCCCAGACACAGCATCTAGCTAATCTAAGAGCACATGTAAAGCCACTGCCCCATATCCCGGCACTGTATGGGGATTACAGATGGCTCCAATCTCTGCTCACCCGTGTGTGTGCTGGGGGGGTAATGGACCGGATTATCTTTGAGCTGCACCCAAGCAGTGACCCCATCATACCGCCTCCCGCTGGGTGAGAACAGAGACAGGGCCCCCCTGTGCCACACAGCCCACCCCCACCCCCAGTCCCGGGGCGCTGAGACAGGAGCCTGTCCAGTCACTCCAGCAGACCTGAAAAACAAAGGGTTAGACAAACGGGCCCTACAATAAACACAGCCCTGGGGCGGGGGGGGGGTCCTACACAGCCCCCACAGCTAACCGCCCCCCCTTTCCTAGCGTCTAGACGGGAGCGCTGGGCCCCCCAGGCTGCCCCGCTCCGATCAGCCCCACCCCGTGGCCGCTCCATCTGCCCCGCTGCGCCCCTCGCCCGTCGGCTGGGTCCCCGCGCGGGTGCCAGGCTGCCCTGCGGCCCCCGCCCGGCTCCCACTGTCCCCCCTCACCTGGCCCACCGGCGGGCGGCTGCCCGGGGTCCCTCCTGGCTGCGCGGCTGCGTGCGCCGGTCCCGGCCCGGTCCCTGCGCGGCGCACGGCTGCCCGCGGTCCCTGGCGCTCCTGCCCGGCCGCGCCTCCCGCGGGGGGCCGGGGAGCCAAGGCAGAGCCGCCCCACTGACATCATCGCCCCTTCCTCCCCCCCCCGCCGCCTGCCCCCCGCCCCCTCCCTCGCACGCCGCCCGCAGCCGCCGCTTTACCATAAAAGGGGAACGGCTGCGCGGGGAATTGCGCGGCCCCCGCAGGAAACCAGCCGGCCCGTCCGTCCCCTGCCCCCCCGCGGCGCGTCCCCCCGCGCCCCACGGCCCCCGCACCGCCACCCCCGCGGGCTCCTTCCCTCCCGCCGCTCCTCAGCCTCCCTCGCCACCTGGTTCCTTTGTTTCGCTCTTTGGATCCGTTTCCTTTTAAATCCCTGAGGTTTGGGCGCTTCGGGGCTGGGCTGGACAGGGACTGGCAAAGACAAGGCTCCATGCCAGCACCAAGGGCTATTCATTGGGGCAGAGCTGGGGGGAAGGGAGAGGGGCACAAATCCCCCCCCCCCCCCCCCCCCCCCGAAGATCTAAGAACAGATCTACATGAGAAAGTTGCACAAAGGTCTGATTTTAAACCACCTCAGTTAGGTTAGTGCCAGAGGCTCCCTGGCCAGGTATTTCAGTTTTCAGCAGGCTGATGTCAGTTTGTCTTCTAAGTCAATTCCTGACTGATTTGACAGTTCTACCGTATGAAATTATGTCCAACTAAGTGACAGACATACAGTCCCTGCAGTTATTACGTCACTTGTGCACGTCCACACTGCGCTGCTTGTGTCTGCAGTGCACGTCCTCGCTAGGAGCCTTGGTATTGATGCAGAGAGCGGTGCACTGGGTAACTCGTCACCACTGTAGCACAGGGTGTTTTGAGAAGGTTTTACAATGCCTCATGGGGCCGAAACAAGTCATGCGGGGTGACTGGGAACATGGGCTCAACTTCCCATAATGCAGTGTTCTCAATCCCATAATTTCATCTGCATCCCATTACCGGCTGGAGTCAGGAAATCCACCGCAGGCGCTGTTGTGGTGCAAGTGTGCAGGGCCATGAATCGCCTCCTGCTGCGCAGGAGTGTGACTATGGGCCATGGTTGGTTTTGCAGCAATGAGGTTCCCAAACTGCAGTGGGGCGAGAGCTGGCATGCATATCCCTATTTTAGCACCAAACCACAGAGTGCATCAACTGAAAGGGCTGCTGGATCACCAGGGAGGCTTTACTAACACCAATGGGGGCTGGTCAGGGAAGGTGAGTGATGCGCCTGCTTTAAGAATACAAGACTGTTCAGAAAGCTGCAAGCAGGGACTTTCTTTCCCGACTGGAGGATTACCATTGGCAAGGTTGAAATGCCAACAGTGATCCTGGGAAACCCAGCCTACCCCTTGCTCCCACAGCTCATACCAGCCACCTCAACAGCACCAAGGAGAGGTTCAACTACAGGCGGAGCGGGTGCAGAATGACAGTTGAATGTGCCTTTGGTTGGCTGAAGGGTTGCTGGTGCTGTCTACGCACGAGATTGACGTCAGTGGGAAAAAAAGTCCAATGGTTATAGCTGCCGGCTGGGTCCTGCATAATAGCTGTGAAGCAAAGGGGGGAAAGTTTCCACCGGGGTGGAAGGTGGAGGTGAAGTGGCTGTCTGCTGATTTTGACCAGCCAGGCACAAGAAGAGGTCAGTGCAGAGCTAATCGGCGCAGGGAGGCAGAGGAGTGTGTGTTGCTGTTGTGTGCTCTGCCTGGCCTTGCTCTTTTGCAGCCCTGTATGAACCCTTGGGTGAGTGCTGTGTGTGCAGTAATATAACATTGCCAATACCCCTATTAATGCTGTCTGTGAATGAGGAACTAATAAAGATGAATTATGTTTCCAAAACCACATTTTTATTGCATAACAATGTGGACAGAAAAACATTTATAGCTTAATAAATTAAGGGAAAAAGAACAGTCATTTCTATTTCAGATGCACTTATGCTGAACTGTGAAAGACACGGTTGGCGTATGTGCGGCTGTGACTGTCTGTACTCTCCCCCTGGGCGGAGTGGTAGGAGTAGTGCACCAGTCCTGGACGCCCCATGGAATATGGGGGTGTGGGGGGGATATAGGGAAGTCCCGATATGCAGTTCTCTAGGGGCTGCAGCATGGGCGGTGGGCATCGTAGGCAGGGAGAGGCTGTGCCTTCCCAAACAGCCTAGCCTGGCCCAGCCCATGCTCTGACCCCAGGCCAGGCCCCCTCCTGCAGTTCCCAGCGCTCTGCCCTGGCTGGCCCAGGCTGGCTGGCCTGCCTCCCACAGGGACTTGGCAGCTGGTGCTGGGGCCGCGCTACCCGGCGCACCGGGGCTGGAGATGGCCCAGCTGCCCAGCACTCCAGGGCTGGCCCCCGTGGCCACGCAGCCTGGGGCATCGGGGTTGGGGCCAGGGCCTGCAGTGGGGGTGCTCTGGGCTCCTGTGGGGGAAAGGGCAGATGGGGAGGGTTGGGGCCTTGGGCACAAGGGGAGGGGTTGGGGGTAGCCTCCCCCAACAGCTGGGTCACCAGCCACCCATGGGCGGCAGAGGGAGGTGAGCACAGGACTGTTGAACTTGCAGGTCCACCAGAGTCAGCAGCATGTCTGTCTGCTGCCTGAGAAGCGCAAGTATTGCCTGCTGCACATCCTTTCTCCTCTCCGCTCTGCCCCTGCCCATGTTGACTGCAAGGGTGAACCTCCAAGCCCTGGGCTCGTTATTTGAAGCAGTGGAGACTTGCAGGATCTCTTGGGACATGTCATCTCTAGTCCTCTTCCTTCTTCTCCTTAGCTGGCTCAGCCATTCTGCTGGGGTGGCCATGAGGGGGGTCTCCACCCGCATTTCCAGCTGCTGAAGATACACTACACAGAGGTACCGTTGTCAGTGTATTCACGATAGAAGTCGAAACTTAAGATACTGAACTCACCCCCTTTGATCCACACAAGTTGTAAGCACTACACTCTCACGTCTCCTTGGGACTGACCCAGCGCCAGCCCTGGTGAGTACGGCAGGCGGTGAATCGGGGAAAGGAGCGGGGATAGCTCATGGGCATGAGCATATGTGCACAGGGCAATTGAACTGAATACTGGCACCGTTGCTGGTGATTTTAACTAATATCCTCAGGAGTGAGATAACAGAGGCTGACTGGGATCAATCAGGGTGCCGCCCGGGTTCACATGCTGCTAGTCTGTGTGCTGCAGTGGTTCCCACTGAAGTAATCAGTGAGCAGTGTGGGAAAGTGTCCTCCCGCGGCAGGAGAAATAAGGCCGAAACCTGCAGCTGAGGATTGCAGACCACCTGCAGGAAAGTTTCATGGAGGTATCGACAGAGGATTCACAGGACATCCCAGTGCATATAAACACAGTGTTCCGCGGGGCCCCGCGAGGGGCTGGGAAGCAGAGCACAACTCTACCTCCCTTGGTTGTTTCATTCAAAAAAACCACATCCTGGCTTGCTGCACAGCTGGACCCCCGGTCACCTGTCCCCCACACTCCTCCTCGCTGTTCACGGTGGGGGCCTCTGTCTCTGTCTCTGCCTCCTCCGAAGTATCCACAGGGCTCCTGAGCTGGTGATGAGGTCTGCTCTGAGAATGGCGTGCAGCTCTTTGTAAGAACAGCTCCCGAGTGCTTGTTAGCCTCCCTCACCTTCCGGTACGCCTTCCGCGGCTTCTTGGCTTTCACAGGCCACTGCTGCTGGTCCCTCTTGCAGCCCTTCTCCTCCGGGCCCCGAACAATCTGCTTGTAGCTGTCCACGTCTCTATGGCTGGGTGGGAGCTGTGTCTCCTCTCCACAGACACAGGAGCTCCAACGCCTCCTGTGTACTCCACACTCAGCGAGGTTGCTCTCCAAGCCGGGCAACCAGGAAATAGAATTTCAAAAATCCACAGGGTTTAAAGGGGAGGGGTGGTTCCCTGGCCAGCTGGCCGCAGGGCAGCAGAGTTCACAAGGGTGACCAGAGCTGACAGGGTGGGACGTTCCTGGAGGCCCCAACAGTCGATGTATGGGTACGTCTTCACTACCCGCCGTATCGGCGGGTAGCAATCGATTTATCCGGGATCGATATATCGCGTCTCGTTAAGACGCGATATATCGCTCCCCGAACGCGCTCACCGTCGACTCCAGAACTCCACCAGAGCGAGCGGCGGTAGCGCAGTCGACGGGGGAGCCGCAGCCGTCGATCCCGCGCCGTCTGGACCCCAGGTAATTCGATCCAAGATACTTCGACTTCAGCTACGCGAGCGTAGCTGAAGTTGCGTATCTTGGATCGATCCCCCCGCCCCCAGTGTAGATGAGTGTCTACACTGACACTGCATCGACCTAACTACATTGACCTTGACTCTACGCTGCTGGGGGAGCTGGTGCTAGTAAGTCAGCAAGACAGGGCAGTTACATCAGTGGGAGCAAAAAGTAAGTGTAGATGCGTACACCCGGTGACAGTGACGTAAGCTGCCTTGGATCGACTTCCCCGTGTAGTGTAGATCAGGTCTATAATTAAACTGAAATAAGACAAGTTTAAAACCAAAAATTAGAGCCTTTTGCACATCATCAACTAAGGGTATGTCTACACTACGGGATTAATCCGAATTTATATAATTCGAATTTGGGAAACAGATTGTATAAATTCGAATGTATGCGGCCACACTAAGCACATTAATTCGGCGGTGTGCGTCCATGTACCGGGGCTAGCGTCTTTCAAAAAAGATTTCAGGTAAAGTTCTGTGTGTAGACAGTTTTCTAGCTGAAATGACCTCCCAATCCCTTTAAGTGCTTAACTTTTTATAGACCACCATCCATCGGAACAATCTCAAAGCGAAGCATCAGGAATTCAGTCTCAGCACCCTGGTGTGGTAGGTCTGTAGTAAACTGAGGCACAGATACAGTGACAGTCTGAATCAGTGGCAGAGCCAATATAAGCCCCAGACCTTTCCATTGACCAGCAGGCCACTCTCCATCCCCCTCCTCAAACATGCTCAGCCCTCATTGTTCATCCATTTCCTCCCTTT